TGAGTGACAATTTGGGAGAAGAAATAAATGGTTTCAGAGTAGCATGCAGCTACTGAGCATTGAACCAAGATCTTTTTAATATGTTTTGAAGAAAGACCCCCAGAATGTCTAAGGAAGTAGGACGTTCTGAAAAGCCTGTTTGGTCTTGGCGCCAATTACTTTTGTGTGAACTTGATGGGCTAAGGCGTACCCAGATATCTAACATAACATCATGTCTAAGTGAGTCTGTCCTTGGGTGCACCTACAACAGTCTGTCAGCTGAACTAGTTACCAGAGCATGGTGCCCTGTAGCATAAATAATAAAAACCCAGAGAAAGATGTTGGGGTTCAAGCTGGAGATTAGAAGAGCAAAGCAGCCAGTCACCAGAGAGCTCTTAACCTCTACCAAGGCTGGGGAGATCCTGTCCTCAACGTGGCTGGAGACTAATTGCCTAGGACTGACTGCTGAGTACTGGATGCCAGCACTGAGACCGTGCTCCAGTCTTACATACCTCTGTAGTGCTGGGATTAAAGGCTTGAGCTCCGTTTCTCTTTTAGACTGATTCTCATGTAGGCCTGGGTGGCCTTGAACTCACAGAGATCCATCTGCCTCTGTCTCCCGAGTCCTGGAGCTAAAGGTGTGGCCACCACTGCCTGGCAGCTATGGCTGTGGCTGGATTTGCATTCTGATCTCTAGGCAAACTTTCTTAGATCACAAGCAATATGTCACCCTAGTCCCACTGGTGAGGCAGCTAGCACCTAATTGGTTGAATTGGGTCATGTGACTGCTCTAGGCCCTCCCTCCTTGGACATTGATGCCACTGGTTCTTTCACTGTCATACTACAGCCAAATTATGTAACCAGTTTTCCTCATTCTCCCAGACCATGGGCTCCTTCTCCTTCATAACCTTGTGTGCCAATTACCATACTATGCCAGCACACACTGTGTGTGTCTGTGTGACTGTCTGCCGGTCCCGTGTCCCTGGGGAGCCCATGCAGTCTTCTGAAACAGAACCTTCCGGTGACCACCTGGGGCTCCACTCTGTTTTTTCCAGGCCTGTGACTGAGATGACTGAGATCATTCTATGTCTTCTCTCTGCCAGCATCCATTATGGCCCATCCTCTTTAAAAGCGTCCTCTCTCTCTCTCTCTCTCTCTCTCTCTCTCTCTCTCCATATATATATACACACATATACATATATATATATATATATATATATATATATATATATATATTACTGAGGGCTTATTATGTACCAGCTCTGTGTTGAATATTTTATAGACACAATTTCAAGTCCTGATTTCTTATATATGCCCATTGTATAATGGAGGGAAAATGATTTCAATGACTCATTTGGATAAACACAAGGTCTGTGAGCCAGGTCTGACTTTATCATCTCCAGCTTTTCCTTAAACCAGTGAACAAGTGCAGATTCCCTACTGTGCACTGCTATGCTAGAGGCTGGCCACTTATAAAAAGGAGAAAAGAGATTGTGTCATTGCCTGTGGGGACTTCTCCTGGGGACTTGGAGGAATGATGCCAATCAAGAAGAGAATGGCAGGTCCAGAGGTGGGTACCCAAATGTGATGCTGTGATCCATGGCACATGTGTCTATTAGGTACCCAATGTGATGCTGTGATGAATGGCGTATGCGTCTATCAGGTCTATGCCCAGGAAGCAGATGAGGACAATCTAGACCATAAGGCAGAGTCTCTTGGATGCTCCAAGTTTTATTCTTTGTTCAAAAAAATCAAATATTCTGTGGCAGCTGTGTATTTCTGATCTAATCAGATGACACATAAATATTATTAAAGGAGACTTTAATTTTAGAAAAGTCTGACTGACTGCATATGGTTTCAGCACTCTCCTCTTATGCTCTTTCGTTTCTGTTCTGTGAGAAAAGAATTCTTTCTGCCTCTCAGCCAAAGCAAGTGGAAAGTCTTATACTTTAGGAAGAGACATTGACTCTTTAACCCCAAGCTTTCCTGAGTTTTTACCTCTCAGTGCTGGCTGAGCAGACCCTTGGAAAGCCAGGGCCACAATGCCACCTTGCCCTGCCCCCCCACTGCCCCACCCTCAAACCCTGTCCCAACCCCAGCTCTGCGCCTGCCCTGCCCCCATCCCACCCTGCCCTACCCCCTTACCCTGGCCCCACCACACTGAAGTAGAGACACAGATAGAAAAGGTCTACAGAGTGAGTTCCAGGGCAGTCTCCAAAGCCACAGAGAAACCGTGTCTCGAAAAAACAAAAAACAAAACAAAACAAAAAAAGAAGCAGCAGCCTAGAGCTGTGCTCTTTGTCCCCTATTCCTCAGAGGCCCTGGCGTGCTTTCTGGTGAGCGGCCAGGACAGGCATGGCTCAGCGCGACTCAGGGAGTGCTCAGCCCCCACCTTCCCCTCTATTTTATTGGGTCTTAGATAGTGCAGAGCAGGTGGCCGGAGTCAGGCAGAAGATGGCATCCTAAGCCCTCAGCACAGGCTCAGGCTCCTCCCTAGTGACCTACTTACTCTCGCTGGGCTCACAGTGCGGGCGACTCGGGACTGGAGGAGACTGGAGATGTCTAACAAGGGCAGGCAGAGTGCCGCGCAGGTGGGAGGCCAAGGGCCCACAGGACATGCCTGGTCCCACCAGAGTTCACATCATTCTGGGAGGGCGCACACCATCTCTGCTCCGGGCCTTTGTCCTGACAGCCTGAAGGGCCCTGTGACGCCAAGGCTCCCCTTCCTGGGGGCTGAATTCTCCTTTTCGAAGGCCTCCTGTCCTGTTCCTTCAAAGGCCACGCCGAGTCCCGATTTGTCCCACGCTGAGCCCTCCATGCCTCCCAGGATGTGGGCCAAGTAGATGGGCTTCCGGGTGCTTCCTGGTCTTGAGGCCAAGAGAACTCAAGCTGGAGTCTACATTTCCAAAGGTCGCTGGGTGTCCGGAGGCACTGGCAAAGCCTCCATTTCTTTAGGTCTCAGCTTGCTGAGCTGTGTGACAGGAATAATGACTGCTGATGTACAGTGTTTCTGTGGTGTCCACGGCCAGCATGCTCAAGAGTCCACTCAGGCACACAAGGTATTTCTGTTGCTTTTTCCTTGGTGAGCTTTGTGAGGTTCCATGTGGGTTCTGGGAACCGAACCTGGGTCTTTGGCAAGAGCGGTCAGTGTTCTTAGCCACTGAGCCATCTCTCCATCCCCTTGTTCACTGATATTTAACTTTATACAAAACTGTCTCCTAGAGTGGGAGCATTAGAGTTAATACCCCCATATTCCATCACCTACGTTATGACTGGTGTTTGGCATCAGGATGGCCAGTGTCGTTGCAGAATTTGAGGTATTCAGATACATGTGTTGTGGGTTGCAGTAGTGTTCGGTTTTGGTGTGAACTTGCCTTACCTGAATGACTGCCAAGACTGAGCATCCTCCCTCGTGGTGAGTACAAAGGAGGGGAATCTGTTAGCACTGCTCATTAGCTTGTCATGCGATCAAAGGCGTGGCCTGCTCCTGAGCCCAACTTATCACCTCTAAGGGTATGCAAGATGGCAGACATAGGCCAGACTGGGAACATAACAACAGTTGTTATATTCCTTACTCAAAGGTCTTTCCCATTAAAAACCACAAATGCATTCTGTATAGGCCCTGGCAGTCAGGCTGGAGGTGCCACTTCCCTAGACAGGGCTGCTAGACTCAGGCCTGCCCCCTCTTTCCCAGTGCGGAGAAAACCCACAAAGCAATTTATACAGGGCAATGCACTGTGGCTCCTTACTACAAAGGATATTATTCTACTCAAAGAGAAATAATGAAACCCGCCAGCCACATTGCCTTCTGGCCAAGTCCCCCTTCCAAACACTTCCAACCTGACAAACAACAAAGGTGTCAAAATGCTGTAAACACTGGGAGGGAAAACTCATTAAAGCTGGTTCTCTGTGAGCCAGTCTCAATTAGGACTCTAGATGTTATTAGTTCTCCCTCATAGTCTCTGACTCCTTATTAAGAGTGGTGATCAAAGACCTTCAGGCTTTCCATCTTTTCCTTTCCAGAAATTTTGTGTGTTATTAATTATAGTTGGAAAAATGAAAGTCTTTCTCAATAAGTTGTTTGTTTGAGGTGGGTTATTAGGATTCAGGAAGACACTTTTAATGTCCTCACGCCCAAACGAGAAACCTTAGGTAGATTTCAACGAAAACAGCAGCCTTCTCTATCTCCATTCCGAATCAGGGCATTGACTGGTATAAATGAGTGACTGGAAATCTAGTAACCTGAGTCCAGGTCACTTAAGGTGCTCTCTGGAGAGGGACACTCAGAGTGGGAACAGGGGGGAAGAGCTAAGTGTTTGACCTCGGATATAAAGGAACAAGGGTACCCAGCAGCTGTATCCTCTTTCCCAAGTCCCTTTTTACAGCCATTACCCTGGGTCATGTCTCTTCCTGGAAACTCAAATGAAGGAACTTGAAAGTTGAGCTATTCAGATGTAAGTTTGGGGAGAACATAAAGCATGACCCATTTTACAGTTGAGGGTGGTCTTGGTGGACCTCTCCCAAGGTGATATTTCTGAGCAGGTTTCTGCTGTAGCAGCAGTCTGCAGCATCTGCCAGCTGGTTGGCCAAGATTCGTACACCTGTCCCAAACAGCTGAGCTTCTTAAAATACACCTTACAGGGCAGAACGTTGGTTCAGTGGGTAGAGGAACTTCCTCCATGCTGGGAAACCTGAGTTGTATCCGGGGACTACGTGATGGAAGGAGAAAGAATTGCTGCATGCTGTCCCCTGACCTTCACACACAGGCTGTAGCACACAATGGACACACACAAATAAATAAATAAATAAATAAATAAATAAATAAATAAGTAAATAAATAATGAGCACAATCCCAAAGGCCCCCAGAAAGCTAGTATAAAGGTTGGCGTATTGATGAATAAATGATCAAAATGTTGACTCTGGTTTCCTCTGAGAGTCCTCTGTTTGTTGTGTATTCTTGCTTCTGAGGGTTATGTATACATCAGAGGATTGGTTTTTGAGGGAGACATCTTTTTCCTCAGCCAAGGCAAGGGAAGAGCAAGACATAACTGATGATGGTTGCGGAGCTGGCAGCCATCAGCCATTTGCAAGCCTTTGTTCATCGGGTTCAATGGAGAGTCACCATGGGGCAGCTTCCAGGATGCTGACGCTGGAGAGCAGTCGGCATCAACGCAGACAAGTGTCGTGTTCTTGGGTACAGGCATTTAACTGGAAATGCAAAGTGTCTCCTACCCCAGTCTGAGTGTGACACACCATGGTCCATGGTCAAACCATGAACTCCGAGGTGATGCAGAAGCAGAGTCAGTCTTATGCGATTTGTAGATGTGTCTACAATAGTTTACAGATGTATATGTATGACTTCACTTGTATAATGCTTCTTTAGCCCTATGTTATCGCCATCTTTTCCTAATGTTTAATAATTCTTTGACAGTTCTGCACAATGTATTTATTCAGCTATCTCCCAGCTCCTCCCAGTTACATCCAACAAATAAACACATAAATACACACAAATGTGAATGTTTATACTAATAATTATTCTTCAGAAGTACTAAGGTTAAAAAAGAAAATAAAAACTACTAATACAATGAACAAAGGTAGATTCTACTGCTTGCGAACTCCGCTCTGGTGAGAAAGTCCCATTTTCCTCATTTGCAAAGTAGAGGATGGGAGCAGTGCTTACTTTCTGGAATTGTTGGAGGGGTTATGGAATCTACTTTTTAAGACCCTTGGGGATAATGCATCTGTTTTAAGAGATCCTTGGTCATAAATAAGAGAATTCCTGGCCTATTTCTGGCACACCACCAGCTTTCCCTGGTAGTCATGGTGTGAGAATTCTTTGCCTATTGCTTGGCACACCACCAGCATTCGGGAAATGCCATTGGCCTCCTTCAGCTTCCACTCTGGCATTGTCTGCAACTGCTTCTTAGTCACCATTTGGGGAGCGTGGTCAGAAAGCATGCTGCTCAATACAAAGCTTGCAAATTAGACCCCCGTGTGTGTAATGCAGTAGCCCCCAGAACCAGCACATAGATAGGTTCATGCCTTGTAGAATAAGGTAGTTTAGTCTGCCTTCGAGATTTTTCAGTTTAAATGCTACCACCAAGTGTTCTTTTTCCTGTTTTTAAAATAGACAGTATATTCCCCAAAGTTTCTGCATCTAACATTTTAGTAAACAAGATAAAAAGTCAACGAGATGGATGGTGTATATGTAGCAGTGTTACTAGGCAAAGCAGCACATATCGTTCAAACCAGAAGGACTGGAGACAATGCCTGTAACCCTAGCACTGGGGGAAGTAGGGGCAGAGGGCTCAGAAGCAGAAGGGCATCTTCAGCTACATAGTGAGTTCAAGGCCAGCCTGAGCTCCATGAGGGTAAGAAAGAAAGAGGGGGGAGGGCAAAAAAGGCAAAGAAAAGAGAAAGAACGAGCCTTGCCTGTCCCAAGAACCCCTACAATTATGCTTGAAGACTGCTTCGTAAAACAGAAGGACAAAAATACTGCTTCTATTCAGCCTGCAGAAGGGTCTCCCCTACCTCCTCCACAGCTGGTCCAGGCATCATGAGGATGCCAAGGAGACAGAGCTGATGAAGCCACACCGGAAGACCTTCCTCTTCTGCATAGATGCTGTCTGCTCACTAGCCCACTGCGTACCTGCTGGGTCACGGGAACATGGACACAGCTCAGCGCATGTCTGGGACTTTCCAGACGTCATTTTGCTGCTACCTATGTGACTTGCCTGAGTTACCGTTTCATTTTTTGGGATTTTCCAACCAGGAAACAACATCAAAAGATTTGTTGTGAGGTCACGATTCTGAAAGCATAGCCTGTGGACGGATGTAAAGCAAAGAGGCTGAAAAGGAGAGAGAGGACCAACCAGTGAGACTCCAGGCAGAAAGCCTAAACTAAAGGCAGACACCATGGATGTTAACATTATCCTGTTGCATCCGAGAAGAGGTGTGCAGGGTTTGGAGCCCAACACGGGTCAGTGTGAGGATGCAGCCATCCTCCTGAGGAATCCCCCACACAGCCCAGTGCGTGGGAGGAACTTGACTTTCCTGGACACAGTTATAGAATCTGTATCTTCTCTACTCCCACACCCAGGCGCCCAGAAGGGAAGACAGCCAGCCCAGCCAGACGCAAGTGTAGTTCTGTATCCTACAACCTACAAGTAAACATCCATCTACTGGAGACCTGTGCTCTGTGAGGAGACTGAACCCTGCCACTCCGCCTGGCACAGCCTCGCTAACTAGAGCCCTCGACATTTCCATGAGACAGGAGAGGCTGCCCTACCGTGCAGAGGCGCCCTGCTGTTCTGGGCACACCATAGACACGCCTATTCCCTCCTCTATTCTGCTGGTTCGGGAGAGAAGTCAAGTCAAACTGAAAGACCCCGAATTTATAGAAATAAAATATAAGCTTAAACAGGGAGGGCACCCCACTAGAGTTCTTGGGAAGTGAACAAAGGACCCCATCCCAGGAACCGGCCATACCACAGAATGGAATGTATGGTTTAGCAACCTTAATTGCAGAAGGGCTGTAAATCCACAAAAGGCCAATTACGGGCTGCTGACCATCTGTGAAGAACTGACCAGGGCGTCAGAGATGGGCAAACAAGACTAGTGGGAAACAAGGAGATAACACTATTTACTTAGGGAGAGATAATTAACTCATGCCAAGGTTTGAGGAATTTACAACATGAATGTCAGGAAGACATCTACTTCCCTGGGACAGGAGTCACGTACCCCCTTCCCCCGTCACGAGATAGGGACCCCTCCCAAAAGCTTGTGGTTTTTGTCTTTAAAAGCGGATTGTAACTGAACCTCGGGGCCAATCGGTCTAAAAGCTGACCAAGAGGCCCATCTGCAGATGCCTAATTAAAGCCTCTTGCGTGTTGCATCAATTGGCGCGTGGACTCTTGATTCTTGGGGTGACGAATCCAGCTTGGGGACCCCTCCTCAATTCGGGGTACCCCAACAAAACCAAACATTTATTGAGTCCCTACTGTGTGTCGGATGCTTCCTCCACTCATTAGGTCTTATACCTCCAGTTGAGGCTCCAGTCTCTTGAGAGTCAGGAGAGATACACTGTGTGATTAATAATAACTGTCTAATAACTCCCAGCCAAGGACTATCTGTACCCCACGCTTGCTTAGATAAATGTTCTTGCCACCCTGTTATTGTGTGAAAAATCAAGGAGGTGAAACAGCTGAGGGCCATGGAGTGAGTAGACAGGGCTGGGTGTAGCTCGTGTCCAAAGTCCACAGTGACTAGTTTGTTGTGAGAGACAAGTGTGAAGTGAGGTGCCTTGAGGAAGATGAGCTGATGCAACACGGCCTTCGGGGTGAGGCCAAGGCCAGCAGCAGAAGAGAAGGGACCTCACCCCTGAACTCCCACAAGGCCTCTGGGCTCTTCCCAAGGCCAGAGAGGGTCACTACTCTGCCGGGTTGGGCCAATGCCGCTTGGGAGTTTAGAATCAGAAACCTCTTCTGCTGCTCTCCAGACCAGGGTCCCTGGTCTGGTCTCAGCCTCTCAGAGCCTCAGTCTGGGTCTTGTAGGAGAAGACGACACTACCTGATGTCTGAGGCGCCCTGAGGATCAAGCAGGTTAACGGGTAAAAAGGCATCTTCTGCACAAAGCGGGCTCGAAGTAGGTGGGATTCCCCCAGAAAACTGCTCTCCTCCAACGAAGGCTGGGTCTCTGTCTTGGGAAAACCTGATGCACCGATTTGATGAAATGCTGGCTTTGCTTCTAGAACACCTGGTTTCAAGTCCCCTCTCCACTGCGTATTCCCTGTCTGCTCCAGTGTCTGACTCTCCTGGCATGTACAGAGCCAAGACACTGCCTGTGTGCAACACGGGCGACACGCCGAGTATGTGCCTCTCCGTTTGCTGCTTGCTTTATAAGAAAACACCTAGAACCAAGATGCTCACATGGGAGCTGCTTTTGTGACCCCAGCGTCAGAGCTGTGTATCCTGGGAACACCCGGTGTGGGAGACTAGCCTTGTCCCAACTTCCTGATGACAGGGTATCACCAGGTCCAGGGAGGAAGTCCCGTGTAACCAAGAAGCAAGCCTGATGTCGCAAAGCCGGGCACATGGAAAGGGAAATGAACAGATGTGGTCTGTGACAGAGAGTAATGGAACCGTGAAGGTCAAGGAAGGTCGCGAGCAGGGTGGGGGAGGGAGGAAGCTTTCACCTTTCCGTTCCCCCTTAGGCATCTGCAGTGTTCGCTTCCATATTAAAGGCTCCAGAAAGGAAGCAAAGAAGACATCAACTATTTCATCTAACCTGAGTTTTTCCAAATTGTTCTGACTACAGACTATTTTTCCTGCAGAAGACCTTTTAATCATCTTTTTTTAAAATTAATGTTCTGCCAAATGCATTTTGGAGACCTGAACTCTGCTAGCAATTTCTCTGCAATTAGCTGTTTCTGGCAGCCCCAGGCAGGCGTCTTTCATCTGGTTATTCCTTAGACCAGGGTGACGGTAGGGCTGCTGGGAGCTGCGTTTCCAGGTGGCCCATTCACTCATTCCGCCTCTCCTCCTGGTTTTTGATCCCTTCTCTTTCGTGAAAGTCTTCCCTGATCCATCCCCCCAGCTCTTTGTTAGAGACCTGGTTCTACTCTGTCTCTTTCAGAGGGATGAAAAGGGTCTTTTCAGGGGGCAATGAATCCAGGGGAATCACACAACAGGTGCGGCTAGGCCTGACTATTTCCCCAGGAAGCTCCAGGCATCTGTGCCAGGAAAGCAGAGTCGCCTCTGCTGTGCCAGCTGGCAGAGCCTTTCAGGCATCCTTTAGCCAGCTCTGGTCAGTAAAGAGGCTGTAAACCTCAGTGTGACCCTAAAAGCCAATGAGACCAATCCCCGGTCACCAAATAACAGGATAGAGCTTGGAGAAGGTGCAGAAGGTGACCTTGAGGAGAAGGTGGTCCCTACTGCTTGCAAAACTCCCATATGAGGAAGGAGTAAGTGCACGCACTTCCTGAAATGAAATGGCAGCTGCCTCCTGAGCCCGGGTGTCTGATGAACTTGCATTTGGCCTCTCACCCTGGCTGCACGCTAGCTCCCTGACCTTATTATTGTGGTCTTCAAGCCGCTGCCTTCTCATCCACAGGCCCCACACAAGGATCGTATGGGGAGGTAGCAGCGCCAGCCACGTTGGTCTCCCTTGTCCCCTGTGGCTCACTGAGCTGTTAACATCAATGGTATGACTTATTTACAACATGGGTCTCATCAGAGAGCTGGGATTTGGAGTGGGGAAATAGGTAGTCACACGGAGAAGAAAGGCTTGGGAAACTGCAGAGAAACTAAAATGTCCGGAGACGGGTCCATAGGCGTGCTAGCCACATGCGATGAACGTAGGAGGCTCGTGGACACACACACTAGAGAAACCTACAGGGAATGGAGCAGAGCCCTGGGGGAACTGAGCCCTGAAGTTAGAGTCAGGCATAGGGCTTTGGTGTGCACTTATGCTCTGTACTCTCCCCTCCTGTCCAGTATGTCACTGAGGAAACT